AAATAGCTCTGGCCCTTTCTGCAGCTTAATGTTCTCCTTAGGTCAGAGGTGGAAATTGCTGGCCTGGCAGAACTAGATCCACACAGGTTGGAGAGGTTTTGATGGTACTGGCACAGCTGGAATGATCCAGCTAAGGGCTGCAGAAAAAACCCAACAGGTTTTGTTGTCAGAGGCCAGAATGCAGGTTATCTGGAGGGGCAGTTTCGTGGCCTGCTGTACGTTTCCAGTGTTGATCATGCCAAGAGTACTCCTATTGACAAACAGAAAATTAGGGGTTTCATCTACAGAGTCACCTTGAAACCCCACAATGAAATATCAATAATTGAGGATACCTGTTTGCTAAAAAGATTACTGACAGGCATAAAATAACAATCACCAATAGCTATAAATATATTTTATGTCTTGGATATTTTCCTGGCAGACTTTAGTCTTTCATTGAGTTATGCAGGAGGAGCCCTGCATTTGGACAACTCAAGAGAGTAGTAGGATGTTTTTTGGGGTGCCAGAGGGGAGAAAGGATATCTTTTTCTTAAATCAGTGTACCATAATTTTCCCTGGTTAGCAAAAAAACATAGTTCCCTCCACAAACAGAGAATTCCATTTCAGTTTACTCTTTTGCAGTACCCAGTATAAGAAGGAAAAAGATGAGATAACTCTTCCTGGAGGAAATCCAGAATGTTAATTAAAGAAATGGCATTTTGGCATTCATTCCTTACTGGCTGGAGTTCATAGCCATACTGGTATTTCATGCTTTACTTTCACGTGAAGAGCTTTCCAAGATCATCTTCTCTACAAATGCTTTTTTTTCTGCCACTAGAGGTCCTAAAAATAATAATGAAAGGAGGTGCAAGGTAGCCATGTATTTGACATTGGAGCATCCTCACAGAGTGGATGTGAGTGCCAGGTCACCAAAACCCCCAGTGGGTCGGCTGACAGCACAGATTAGCACTAGGCAGACTGGAGGAAGGGTGTCTGAGTGTTGGACACAGGAAATCAGCTTTGTCTCTGATCGAGAATGATTTCCATGTGTTCCTGCCACATCCCAGAGGAGAGGGAGGCAGGCTTTTCCTACACTTGGGTGACACTCAGGTGATTTGTCAGGCCACCCAAGTTAGACCAGGGAGGGTTGAGTTGTGGAGGAAGGCTCAGGCTTCTCAAATCTACCTGGCAAGTGAAATGCTAAGGGAAACCATGCCAAGATACTAAACAGCAGGGCAGCTACTACCAGCTGAAACTGCTCCAGGAACTTGGTTCTGGGTCCTTAATCCCTAGCCTCCTGCTTCGTTCTTTCCCCTCCAGAACTTGCTTTTGCAGGTAGGGAGAGATGAAAATCACCCCAGGTGCTGGGGACAGCAAAGAGAGATCAAATACCGATGTGTGAAAAGGTAGAGAAAAGCTTTCCCTGCCAGGTGTTCCAGAAGGAGCCGGTATTCGCAACATAAACTCGAGGCTTCTGATACTGTTGTAGCCCTGTTGGGCTATTCTACAATGCTCCAGTGCTGTAAAAAGAAAGAGATGGATGTACTTGGGAATTGAAATTAAATTCAGCTTTTCCCATTTGCCACTTTTCTCTATTCTTTCCCTCTGTTAAAAAATTGAACATCGATTTTCCTCATTCTGCTGAGTCTGCAGTCTTTGCTAGCGTGTAATCGTTATAAACACTTTCACTAGAGCTGGCAAAGAAAATTCCGGCAAAACAATTTTTATCAAAATTTGCCAGCTTGTTGAAAGCAAGACATCCCAGAGGAAAATGTGCTTTCTTATGACGAGATGACAAGGAAGTGGAACCGGGCACCTTGCCATGGGCAGCCTGGCCTGGGGACCTCTCCCATCGTGCCTCCGGTGAGAATCCCAGAGTGTAAAGGGAACACTGGGTCTTGTTCCACACTGAAACCAAACTGAACTCAGAAACCTTGGACATTCTGCAAAACGGAGTTAATCACTCTCTGCCAAGCCTGAGCATCACGTTGCAATGTCTGATGTTGAATTAAAATGCACAAAAAGACTGTACATTTTAGAAAAGATGGACATTTTTTTGCAATTAGCGTGTTATGGTCTCATTGTACTTATTTTGCTTATCAAGTTATTTTTCAGTGTCAAGACCTATTTTGTTTCACCCTTCCCTGTCATCAAGGATTTAAGGGTTGTTCTTGGCGCGAGGGAATCTGAAGAGCCCTGTCACGGGCTGCACGCAGGAGGCTGTTCCAGCAGCAGGAACTGGAGCCCAAACCGCTCATTGTTTACGTAAAACTAAAAGTTATTTCCTTGGCACCGGCACCAGGCTCCCTCCCTGAGGCTGTACGTGCGCGGATCTACGCAGACCCCACAGGCTGACCGCGGCGTTTGTTATCCCGGGAAATTAATGTTTCCTCTGCTTCTGCAAATAAAGGAATCGGCCTCAGACTGCCCTGAAGAAGCAGCTCTTGTCACTGCCCAGGAGCTTGCGAGGGCAGCGGGTGACCCGGCAGCTGAACTGCAGGAACTCGGGAAGCGTTGGTGGCTGGGTCAGACTCAGCCGTCGCTCAGGCTCCGTGATTTGTGATTCTGTGATTCTGTGATTTGTTGACTGGTTTGGAAGTTGAAACAGCTCTTGGCACCGCAGAGGATGGGCGTTCGGTGGATGTGGCACATACACAAATCAGATAAGAAGACCAAAAAGCCAGTGTTTTAGACAGACAGCTTGGCCAATGAGAATTTTACCGCAAGGCTTATTTTTAATTGACGCGATGAGTTTTAGGCATCTGCCCACTTGAAATATTCTGTTTATGAAACTGTCTCTTTGTTCACTGCTTGGCTGTTGATTTCTAAGTGGGCAAAGCAGGCGGTGTGTGCTAATAAAAGGGACAGAAGAAAGAGGAAGACGCTAATGCAATGAATTATCTTCTCCATAGGACTGTTTCCCATTAAGCATTTTGGTTTGGCTACAGCTTTTGACCGCTTCTGGTTTGCTCAGTAATCCCGAGCCATATGTGTCAGGAGTGATTGACAGAATACACTGTGTTTGAAGCAGCCTCCCAACGGCTCCTACTCAGCTATAAATATTGGATATTCTAAATCTTGAGAGATTAACTCCTGATGCATCAAAGTACCAGTTGATTTTCTTTCATATCTGTGATTAAATTTTTCATGTAAATGTCACATTAAATGATGAAAAACAGAGTGTAAAAAAAAAAAATAATCAGTTTTCACCTAATAGGATATTAAGTTAAGAAGTTAAGAAAAAAATACTGTGAAAAACATAATACCAAAGGATGTAATCCTTTAAAGCTCATTTATGCCTATAACAATATAAGTGACATTATTAGATTATTTTTTATCAGTCTGTAAGATTGAGAGACAAATAAACATATGACAGAGAATGGAAATTTGCAGTAGCAATCTTTTGAATAATTGCACAATATAGTTTAGATTATTTGAAAACATATTTAGTATTTTTATATAATGCATATTTTTAAAAATGGATTCTTTTCACCATCTTCTCAATTCGTAATGCAAAATTACCGTTACTGTAAATAAACATGGTATTATTACCAAAGGTCATGGACTTAAATGAAGGTCATTGTGTAGCTACTTAGAAACTGAATAATGTATTCACCCCTTAGGCTGGTCTGCGTGTAACTGAGATTCAGACTGAAAAGAACCTTGCTAACAATCCTGTGACCTATACTTGTTCCATATCATGAAAATTCTCCTGGAGCTTTCTAGCCTACTCGGCAGAAAGATGTAGAAGATTTATCATTATTGTTAGAGTTAACATCTTCAAAATATTACAGAGACTTTCCTGAAAATTCTTGGGACCAGATCATGCTGTAACACTCCTACACAGTGGGGTCTCTCAGTTTGTGGAAAAAATCAATATATTGAAATAAAATGTGCTGTTGGTTATGAGCTTATTTGGAGAAACTGCAGATAATAGCAAGGGATTTTGTTCTCAGCCATCATCTCTGTGCCTGAAGCCAGATCTAGGAGGAATTGGAAGACCTGGGCACTAGGGTTGGCCTCCTGAAAAGCATCTCAGCCTGGGCACCCTTCAGATGATGTTCCTTCCACCTAACTCCAGTTTAAAAGCTACACATGCCATGTAAATTAACCATTAAGACCATTAAGCAAGTGCTTCTAGATAGTGTTTCACCCATCTTGTTTAAATACTTGTCTTTGAAAAGAAAGACCTTACCTCGGTAAGTTTTCCCTGCTGACCAGTAGAAGCAGCTAGACGATTAGCTGAAGAAACAGCTGTGAGCTGTCTGAAGGGTGTGCCAGAGATTGTGCTTTCCAGGGATTCTACTTCTGTAGTCCCAATTGAGACCTTTCCACTGAAACCGATAGAAATTACAGCAAAAGACTATAAAATCAAACTACCTCTAAGAGCTGTTAGTGGCAGCAAAGTCCTGTATGTTTCTGTAAGGCCATTAAGTGATGGCTAAATGAAGGTATCACCACTGGAAGCTTTTGATGGGGGTTATTTGCAGACCAGCTGTTCTGCAGCATGAGGAAAAAGAAGCATTAGCCAATCATATCACAACAAAGAGGAATAAAAATACAGCCTTTCACTGTTGTGAAAGGTTATTCAGGGCAGAATTGGTGGTGCAGTTTGCATAGCTTAAAAACGTGAGCCAAGAAGTTACCAATATTTGCAAAACGATCCTTTTTTACTCCGTTCCAATGGGTTCATAATTTGAATCAAACTACTGGAGATAAAATGAGATACAAAGGCAGAAACTGAAGGCTCTCACTCACACGTCCCCACCCAGCTGTTACAAAAAGAAATGTAGGCTGTTACTGTTCTTGTCTTGGTTGCCTCAGCACAGCCTCGTTCCTTCCCAGGGAAGTCTGTAATGGAAGCTGTTGCATTTAGGAAGCAAACAGTATTACAGCTCAACCAGCATCTCCAAGGGAGGACCTGGAGGCACTTGGTTGTGGACTGAGAGGTGCCCTGAATGTTTCTGTGCTATAACATTTAGTGTAAAGGCTGCTCTAACCTTCCCCCTTTCACACTCCAGGTTAACACGGAGAAAAATGCTGCCATTCTGTTTCTCCCTGTTAGTGGTGAGACCTCATCGAACAGGACAAACCCCAAACTATGGCCAACACCGACTGCACCAACTGGGTCTAGCTTTAAAAGTAAGTTGTACAATACTTCAAGCCTTTATGTTCTTCCATTTCCATTAGCTGGAAAAGGAATAAACCAGGCTCCTTAGTAAGCGTTGTCAACCAAAAGGTGACCTGTTCTGCAATCTGACCTTTTAGCTCAGCTTCACGGGTGGGTTTGTCTCAAAGCATTCATTCCGCCTGGGCTGCCAAATTCAAAGAAACAGGTGGAGTTAGACTATAAGATGTTTACTCGTGTTATGCTGGAATTCCTTTGCTCTTGCCTGAGGCTGTACTTCAGAGGCCTTCAAAGTCAAAACTGCCACTCCGTTCTTGCCTGAAACGTTTTGTTCTTGCGTTTCTCTCCTGTCAATGGGAATTAGAGAAACCTGAAATGTTGTCCTTGTCTAAATACAGAGCTAAAAGTAATTCCATGCTTTGGGATGCTCAAAGCACCAGTCTGATGGTGGTGTGAGACAGATGGGCAAGAATGAGGGAAACACACCAGCATCCTTAGCAGAGACCTTTAGTTAAGCGCCCTATACAACCTAAGTGGGGAGAAGGGTCTAGTTCGTGGATCTAACTCCAGTGGCAGAGTGTAAAGGACCACAATGGGGAAAGAGGATTGGTACAAACAACTGATCCATTTAAAAGGCATACAGGAAGGAAACTACAAAAAACAGGGGATAAATTATTTCCCCTATTTTTTTTTTCTGTAATAAGATATGTTTATAGAGGGAAGTGTGCTCCACAGTATGGACTGTCCCCATATGGAGACCTCCTGGATGGCACAACAGTTCCCTTCTGGACTCTGCTCTGGGGTTTAGTTCCCTTGGAAACCAAACACTCAGTTATACTCTTACTAAAAGCAACAAATATAACAACAATTATTTTTTAAGTGGTTCTGGAACAAATATTTTCATTTTATTGTTGGAAGAGGTGTTATGTAACATATTTTTCTGTTGTACATATATCTACAGCAAACCTTGTTTTCTAGGTTTTTATCATTATGTTAAAAAGCAGTATAAGATGAGAATGTCCACATTTCTTAAGTTTTATTCCAAACTTTTCCTCTCTAAAACAAAAATATTTTCATTCTCCTTTGTGATAAATCCCACCTGTGATCCATTATCATATTTGTATACACATTCTTTTAACATTAAGCTAAATGCTGAAGGAATGATATTCCCAGTGTTGAGTCCAAAATACAATAAATAATACATAATTAAAAAATCTGGCATACTTATAATTTAAAATAAAGGAATCACATGTCATTAAAACAGCATCTCACTCATCTTTTACGCAATTTTAGAAATTCTCTTTTCTCACCCTAGATCTGGGCAATGAACAGGGGTCACGGTGTTCTGGAAGAAGTTGCTACCATCCTTTCAGCTGAAAGTTGCAGCATTTTCAAGAATATCACAGGGAATTTTAAATGACGCATCAGCAAATGGTATTCGATTCTAATGCTATGAAAGAAAGAGTAAGGAATTAGGGTGATTGGAGTGATGCCTGAACATGGAGTGGAATCTGTAGCACTCTAAGCAAACAGAGACCCCACTGGCAAATATTTTGGACAACACAACACAGTGTGTTGTTCTTGTCTTATGTTCTAATCAATTTTGTATACTTGAAGCTGATTTATTATGATTTACCAAGAGCAGGCAACTAGAAGGCTCTGAGCAGAATATTCTGTTATTCCTTCCTTTGTCTAAAGTTCAAAAAATGTGCTCTATGTTTTACAAAACCTCCCACTTTTCTGTCTCTTGACAAGAAACCTCAAAAACAAAGTAAGATTCATTAATGATGCCCTTCCCTTTTAATAAATACATATGGTTATGACTGATTTATACTACTAATCAGGTGTGGTGCTGATGTGGGAAGACTCCCAAATCTTTGTTCTTCTAACTTAGCAGGCTCTTGGAAAGTGTCATCATTATAGGTTTTAATTAAAAAAATTGAAAGTACCCTAACAAAGTACAGATAGACATTTGCTTTGCTAGTGCCTACTGTATGAGACCATTTTCATTACCTACCACCAACTCTCATCCACTTCTTTGAAAGACAGGAGGTCAGCAGGGATGCAGGCTCTGCAGAAGAGGCTTGTTTAGACAATTTTGCATGCTACTGTCTTTTGAGGATCAGCTTGGATAACCACGACAAGAAGAATCTGAAAGATCTTCTTGGCTAAAACTGAGAGTGTGAAGGACTTACTTTCACACTGTGAAAGACTTATCTCAGGCCTCAATCATCTGCAAGTAGGCAGTAGTATTTTCTTCCTAGGTAGAAACTGCTGAAACCTGCCATTTCCCTTCGTCTGCTGTTTTCAGCCAGCACTTTTGCCACTGGAATAATAAGAAGCTCATCCCATAGCTTTATAAGAGCAAATGGATGCCACTGATACTTTCCATTTCAAAATAGGCAGAGAAGTTTTTACCCTTCTTTCTAATCTAGTTCGATCTTCTTCCATATTCCACAAGTTTCCTGAAGCATTGTTCTTAAATGTCATTAAAACAAAACAAAACAAAAAAGTTGTTAATATTGCAGTCTTATCCCATCCAAATTAGACTGTGGACAAAGGATTTAAGGAAGGGTGTGCCAAACCCTGAGGACTGTTGATATTCCAACTCAATTAGAGCAGTTAGTGCCTAATTAAGTGCTAATTTATGCTCTGTGTAATCTCATAGAGAGTAGAAATTTGGCTCAGGCTAGTTGGAAAACAGAATTTTAGCTATCACACGTTAAAACACCTACTACTTTTACGCATACAAAACCTACTTTGTTTTATATGAGTCAAGTGCAGTGTAAAACAAGGCTAAATTCTTATCCTGCTTTGGCTGGCTTCCTCTTACAGTTTTAAAAGTTTCACAAACATTCATTTTCCTGTGTCCTCAGAAGTCACAGAATGCTAAAGACAAGCTGTCTGGCAGCCAGTTTTCTGTGTTTCCTTCAAAGGGCAAACTTAACTGTCTCCTGCAATAGCAGAGTTGAGTATCTATTGATGCTCACAGTGTCTTTATTCCCCGCTTCACAGAATAAATAGAAATTTTAGCTAGAGCTGAATAAACCAGGAACTGGTGGCAACTATTTGAGCCAGGCTTTCAAAGGAGAGACCTTCCTAACTCCCCTGCATGCTACAGCAAGCGCAAACATCTTTCTTGTCCATGCAGGAAATGTACCCTAAATCCCACACAGAAGCAAAGTTACATTTTGGAGACCTGATCACCACAGAGACCTGTCAGTCATCTCTGACGCAGCACATGGGAACGGTCAAATTGCCACACCTGATTTGCATTCTTGTTACATGCACATAAAAACAAGTCCTTCTCATCTTCACTCTTCGCTGCCTCTATGCATTTGCCAGAAAGGACATGGACAATCATTCCATTCTGCAAGATGAGAGAAGAAGGGAAAGAAAGAACGTATTAAAAATAAGGGATTTCCAGTAGATCTAGGCCATGTTTCTGAAACCTTTTGCATACGACAGATCACCAGTAATGACTGGTTGTTCAAAATTTTTTAAGTATTGCTCTAAATATAATGACTAGGTTTAGCTTTGGGCCCAGGGCATAGTGATTATTCCTTTTGAAGCTGATAGGAGTGGTAAGTGCAGAATTCAATAAATCTCTTTTCCACCGCTATTTGTTTCTTATGTCATCAGCATCAACTACAGTACTACAGGCCACAAAATTTCAAAAGGGCTAGTGCTTCCCTTAGGAATCAAAACAAACTGCACCAGAGGATTGCAGCATCCCTACAACTACAGTAACTGCTGTTTTCCCAGGCTGTCCTAGAGCATTTTTCAGTCTTGTAGGGGAGTTCCTCCTCTGTTGGGTGAACTCCACTGAATAATACTGAATTCCACTAATAGGAAGTTTGCTCTTTTACAATGCAGGAGGAATTTAAATGTTTCCCTTACTCCCAAAGAGTTCTCATTTGGGAGTGTTCAACATTCCCAGGCCCTTCATCTATCCAAAAGAAGTGGGCAAAGATTTGCCCTGCTCTTATTTTCACAACCACTGATTCTGATTCTATTCCTATAAGACCAGTAAGACATACAGTTAAAACAAGGACATACGAATTTAGATAGTATTCCTGTAATTTGTATTTTTAAACCAAATCTCTTTCACATTGACAGTGTAAATGGGCAAGAGACATCCTAAATTTCCTGGGTGAAAATGGTACAGATGAGAAACTTGCCCTTGAAATACCTCATCCCCTCCCCACACACGAATGCTGTCAATCACCCAGTGATCCTACAGTCACTGTCAGCTGCCTTCCCCTCACAGCAGAGTCACTACTGACCTCCTGGACATCCCAGTGCTGGTGGCTGTTCTCTGTCTCCTTTGTACAGTTTTGAGGGATAACCTTCCCGTGTCTGACATCAAAGCAAAAGAGCGGAGCAGAAACAAGCCGGATTTCCTTCATGCTGTTATATTCAAAGTGCTGGAAAAGAGAGGGTTTGTTTGAACAATTCATTTTTAAATGGTAATTCCAAAAATAATTTCCTGTACATGTTTGTGAAGATGCAACCCAAACATGAGTGATGGAGACCAAACAGCCTTGACCCTGCAAAGAAATCCCTCCCGCTAGCTAATTTTGGCTTAACTATTTACCTAAGGAAAGGCTTTGTGGACTGTAATTTTGTATAAAGTAAACCTATCCTATAATAAAATTTTATAGTTTAATAAATATTTGAACAGAAGGCTGTTTCTGACAGTGTCCACATGCACTGCAGTTAGAAATGTGGCTGCAGCTTACCCTGAGCTCAGTGTGAGCAGCAGAACTTGCTTGGGACTTGGAGTAAGTGTCTGCAGTTGGTCTGTATTGGTTTGGCTTCTCCTACTGCATGAACTCGCTAGCTCAATTCCAGCTTGGGAGCCTACATGAATTTCCCTCCTGTCTTTGACTGCAGTTTAGGCACTAAATTGCAGTTTTAGGTACTAAGGGGGAAACCCATCCCCATTATACTAGAGTTGTTATATATCTTTTATTCCCAGGCTTTCTGTTCTCCAGACACTACCAAATATACTAACAAACAGGCACTTGATGTCTGCTGGAACGAAGTGTGGATATCTGGCCTCAGTGAGACATGGAACATTGCCATTTTTCAAATGACACTCAGCTGCAGAAGAGTGGGCATCATTGCCTTAGCACAGGCCTAATTTTGAACACATCAGTATTGCCATTAATGTCAACCCAGCCATTTACATGTTGGAGTCGCTGTCTTCTGGATGGTTCCCTAGGTCTGATACACTGCCCATGTACTTAAAGCATACAGTACCTGGGTGAGACTGTCACTGCAAGGGGAGAGTTCGATAGAGCCTTCTGCAACGGCTCTTCCAGGCCTGTAATCTGCACAGAAGCCAACACCAGTATTGTAAAGCTGTAAGTAAAGGTTTATACTGAAATAAAGCACAACCAGATACAAACAAAATATCCTTCAGCTAACTTTTTAGTGACTGTATCCCTTTATGATATATGATTTTGCTCGTAATTCAGGCACTATTTTTTTCTTTCAGACTCCATCCTGCATATTGAACTTGCAAACTGCTCTGATACAAAAGGCAGGGTCTCACCAAAGGTCAGTGTTACTCAATGGGTTTTGTTTAAGTTAGAGATATCAACTTCTGGCTTTAACTATTACAATAGTTAAAAGAAATCTGTCAAAATGTTTATGCTAATGGAAAATTGCACTTCAACTGGACACTGTACTCAGAAAAAAACTAAGATATTCCAGAAGAAAAAAAAGTGTGACAATTCCTGTGATCCACACTTAGTTCTTACACTCTTTTCAAGCAGGACAAAATAGTAAAAGGACACAGTAAAATCTGGCTACAGATAGCAGAATGTGACTTAATTAGTGAACGTTGTTGCCCTGTTGGGGGAAAACCTCTTCCAGTAAGGCTGCCTGGAATAAATTCATATTTTAATTAATGATAATTATCAACTTAGTGTTTTAAAAGAAAACATTGATAATATTGCCTCCTGTACACAGCCAGCCAAGGAACTGCTATTGCTACCACCTCTGTCCTTGGGGGAAGTGCAGGAAAGAAGGAATGCTTTTTTCTCTTAATGCACATAAGTCAGCACAGAGATACCTCAGCTGCTGTTGTGATTGCCATCTGCATGAGGCATCACTAAGGTTAGGATCCTCTGAGCTGTGACACTGAACTGAGTCAGACAATCTGGATTCACCTCCTGGCTGGCTTTCAACGTTTATGGGAGAATTTGGACCAGCTGTTTGTCTCCTCTGTCCTCTTCTTTCTCCTCCCATCCTTATTGCATTGTCCGTTTGGACAATAAATGTTTCAAAGGAACAGCCTCTTACTCTACACTCACTGAGTACTTTGTACATAGAAGCAATACTGGGGTCTTTGAACAATGCAAAACCACTAATCATTCTTTATAGTGTGTTCTCTCTTACCTTGCCAGAGAATCTTGGTGTGTCTTCAGGTTGGGACAGTTCAGGGTACACATTTGACACAAACCACTGGAAATTTCTACAGCCCAGTCTTTTCTGTAGCTGAAGGCGCTCGCTGCAGTCTGGCTTCTCTGCCTTTATGGAGAAAGCACAGGGGCAACAAGGTTACTAGTGCATTTGAGTTAAAGATGATAGAAGTGAAAATGACTACATAGGAATTATTTCTACCACCTCTTCTATCCTGCATGTTATAGATATTGCTATATTTCTCTCAATGAATATGCAAAGGAAGAGGACCAGCTATAGCTTTCCTCCCACTTTGTGCTAAAACAGCATTTAGTCTGGCATTGTGATGGAAGCAAATGTTTCAGAAGTAGCATACACTGAAAATAAGCATTTCACCTGAAAATGATTACTATGCTGCAAGATAAATCAGTCTTTGTCATCTTTTCAATTGAAAAAGGGCCAAGTTTGATACTTGTTGCATGGAAATCAGTGGGATTATATTAGATTATTATTCAGTATAGAATTTGCCCTGCTGATTAAAATTCAATTTCCTGGCCTTTAACAACCCAAACTACCCAGTTATTGTCAGTCCTCCCTGATCAGAGAATGTAAGTGATGACAGAATTTAGACCAAAATATTGTCTTTCACATTATTACTTGATAGTTACTAAATCTAGTAAGTGAATGTATTTTGTGGCTATAAAGTCATAAAACCTTTTCTATGATGTATGTGTTTCCTTGAATTATATACACACAATGTCAACTCTCACTCTTCTGGTAGCAACTCTGTTCTGAAAAAAACCCACTTGTGTGTTCAACCCCTGGTGCAGCTACAGGCATCTGCACTGCAAAGGACTGACAGTCTGAATATTTGAGGGTATTTAGCACTGAACATGGCTAGTAGGGTTCTGGAAACCTCTAAGCAAGTGTCTAATCCTTCAGCTGTAAAACCACACAAAACAATTTTCTAACTCTCTCAGTGACAAATTTCTAAAAATATCTCACCACCCTTAAAAGCCTCTCTCCTCTTTCTCGCCCACAGTAGATCTTCCCCTTCAAGTTTCTAGTTTTTAAAAATGCAGTTTTGGATTCCAGGAAACTGATCTGGATTCCTACGTCAGAAATAAAAATTGGTAACATAAGCAAAGAATAGTCTGTAAATAACTTTTGCTCAGCCCAGCTATTTCTCTGCATCCATAAGAAAGAAAAAAGGACTTTGCACCATGCCTGGAAAACACTGACAAATGAAAAGCCTTGGAGATCAAGGGAGAGGTATCAGTTTCTTAAGGCAGGGATTGATCATGCTGTGTGGTGCTGCTTCCCCTGGAAGCTGCACAGGCAAAGCTCAACAGTTGCAGGATGTTAAAGAGATCCTCTTAGTTTAGTGTCAGTCTTTGACTCAATAAGCATAGTAGCAAAATTCAGCAATTCAGCACCACACAAACCTGTCCCCAAGAGGTTTTATTGGAAAAGGGAAATAGAGAAGTAAAATGTTTCCCCTAAAAAGAGATGTTTCTCATGAGAGTCTGAAGAAGGCAATGGCAGTAAATCTCATTTTGTCATACTAGTTGCAGTCTGCATTAGATGCCGAATAAATATTGTAAATAATGTAAAGAAAGTCATTATCCCTGTAAACCAGAGGAAACCCTGAAAAGAAACTGTGCTTTTAAATTAAGTAAACCACACAAGAAAAGGAGAAAAAGAGACAGTGGCTGAAACAGTAGAGAGCTGGGAAGGGCCTTATTCATCTGCATGAACGCTCACACCACAGGCATCCTGTGCACGATGGGATTCAGATCATGAAACAGGAAGTTTTATAAAGCAACCTAAACGGGGGTCACTAGTTATTTTCTGCAGAGGGCAATGTTGGCCGTCAAAGCTCACGGAGATTTTTCTAGTGGCCAATAGGTGGCTCCGCTAGCCCTCTCCGTGCAATAAATCACCGCAGGGCCCCTCTGCAGCTGAGCGACAATAATGTCATTGCTTGCTTATGTCTTTTAAATAACATCCCACTGCACTGACATACTGAAAATATTGGCTGTGAAAGAAAGGAATAGAGAAAAGGGCCTTTTATGTTATGGTGTGCTGAACACAGAGATCATAAAATTGATCATTTGAAGGAGCATCACAGTTAGGAGTACTAAAGGTATTCTGGCTGGAATAAACTCTCAGGCAAAAGGTCATGGTGCTTAGAGGTAGTAAACTGCATCGTTGATGGATTTAGTTTTTAGTACAGAAAACTGCTTCAGAGTTGACAAGAAAGGCCTTCAGGAAATTATTAAATGATTTAAAAGACCTAACTGCCCATCTTAAAAGACTTGGCCTAGCATTCTCCTTGCAATTATATGTCTGTAACCCTTGTGAGTCAATTGAGGAACTTCTGGCCAGTGGAGTCCAAACCTACAGCACAGACAAGGAAGGACAGCTTTTTAAAAAAGTGAAAGTAGAATTACAAAAAGGAACATGATAGCCTCAGACTCTAGGATTAGCACAGCAGGCTGACTGGAGGGGCAGATCCACTGGTGGAGCATAAGGAGGTCAGACTAGGTGACACGAGTGAAGCCACATTGACCCACAGCCCTTTTCCTCTCCTCAGTACAATGCAGCTCCTGCTGGATCTGGCTTTCTTAGACAATGGCCAGCACTGCAGCGACTGAGGCATGCAGGACTGAAATGCAAGAGCAAAACTGAATAGGAAACTTTGCACAGCACCCGCTCATGCTCTGCCTAACTGTTTTCAGTGAATTTTTATTCTATTTCATTTTAAAAGCATGGCATTGTTAAATGAAAAAGAAGATGACACATTTTCATTCACAGCTTATCACAAGTTTGTCCACTGCCTTGTAAGAGAGGATACCCTTACAAGAAAGGGTATTGGAGCCAGAGAATTCCTGAGAATTGCAGCAACATTAACAACTTCACATTATTAACAAATTAACGTTAACTACATTAACCGCAGTTGCATGGCTCCTGATAAACAAACGTCTACTGGTTTGTAATACAAAAGGATATACAGCCCCTTGACTGATCCTGATCTGCAATGGATTACACAGTGGCTTAAAAACAAGTGTGGCTGTTCTGTAGTTGTTGGATGGTGTACAGACCACCTGCAGGTGGTTCAAGTGTGGCTGCACGCCAGGGCCACGCCACACACCTGGCTGCAAGCCTGTCTTAGCGTACAGGCTGCTGGGAATCCAAATCCCTGGAGGTCAGACTGCTGCCTGCATGATGTTTCTAATGAGAAAGTAACCTGTAAATAGTGGCTATGTTGAGATATGACTTTCCCAGTTACAGACAATTGCTTCTGGACATCTGTCAAGTCAGGAAAAAAATCCCCTTTTTTTGGTCACTGAACCACTCAGATATCCTTTCAGTAGGAGAGACACCGCAGTTTGCCACATCCCCATGAATATTACTGAATATCCTCATGAATCACATGACAAAGACCTTCACTAACAAAGAATGAATTCTCTAGGAGGGCCTTCTGAGCACACACTGCTACTAGCTTCCACTTCAGGTGCACCGCAACACTCCATGTACTATTGGTGGAAAAATAAATCACAGCTTCATGGGCAAGCTGAAGAAGTAATTTCAGAAGGAGTCATACTCTAAGAGATTTGACACCTTCAGCAAACAACACCTAGGCACAAGTTTCTGTCTCTCCTTCCTGATCTGACAACTGTTCCACCGGCAGGTTTCATAAGAAGACTATCTCCAGCACCATGCACATTGCATGTTTGACTGCACATGTACAACCCCTCCCCTATTCCACCCCCTTCACCCACCTCAACACACACTCCTTCCCTCAGAAACAAACCACTATACATGTCCTTACCTTGCTGATTAAGAAAGCCACTGTGTCATGCTTGTAAAAGTTCTCTTTAAAAGTGCCCAACCAGGTCTCTGCTATTCGGATTTTGTTCCTCACAATGGCATCTTCATAGGCGAGAGCATGGGGAAAGTGATTTCGATAGACATGCCCAACTCGGGAGCATGGAATAATCTCTACAGAGCCACCACAGAGCCAGGTCTGAAATACAGGTAAAGGCGCAAAAAGATATTATCTTATTTTGATTACTTTCATCTAAAAAGGAGAAGCTCCTTTACTATAGACTGTGCCTCAGGAAATCCTAATCTGCACATTGCTGGAAACA